TCAGGTACTGGCACAGCTTACAGATTTATCTATTTATTTATTTATTTATTTATTTATTTATTTATTTATTTATTTATTTATTTATTTATTTATTTATTATGACATTTATATAATCACTCAATTCACTCATGGTAACTAGATATTGTCTGTTTCAAAATTAACACACATAAATTCCTCTAGCACTGATTACATATTGATTAACTATGCTAATCATAAGCCAATATTTCTGCTTGGATATCCAGATGACTGAGCATGTTACAGTTTGTACCATCAGCTAACATTTAAAACTTTATTTCCCCCCCTGCATATTTCAGGATCCTGAAAAACTGCAACCATTGTTTCAGGTAGCTATGCAGCTCAGCCGAAGTTCCAAGCCGTATGACTGCGTGACTGCTTCCTATTTATTGAACTTCTTAATCCATCAGAAAGGATTGTTGAATATTTGTTCAGAAAGTTATCAACTTCTGGGCATGTTTCAGCCAAATGAAGATCTACCTGCTGACTCATTAGAGAAGAATACTTTATCTGGTCATTATTTTACATTCTGTACTTTAAAAATTCCATTCTGTATTGAAAGATGATGCCATTATGTCCAAAGAAAGTCTTCATGTTCAGAAGTAATAGCTTTCTGTTTTAATCTAAACTTAGTGTTTTTAGTTTTTGGTACAAATAATTCATGTAATGAGCTCTTAAAAGTTTTTTGTATTTGCTTTTTTGAAATTATTGACCTAGGAATTTTCTTTGAAACTTTTAAGACATAAAAATATCTGCAACTATCTGTCTTTCTAATTCTCTGGGCTTCATAACTAGCCTGATATCACATGTGCCATTTTACATGTTTTGACTTCGAAAAGCTGCCACAGCAAATTTCATTGATTTTACTGACATTTTGCCTGATCAACATGCATCTTTAACCTTTTTTCATTTTTATTTTATGTCTGTATAGTCTCTAGTCAATTTATACTAAAACACTGATTCCTGTAACCTATAATTGGGCAAATCGGTGCACTGTAGGCAAGGTTTTTTTAAACCGTTACCTCAGATGGGCTATTTTACAGAATGTGACTGAATCTGGGATCCATGACTCCCAACAGAATTGAAATTTGACAAGTTTTATAAAACATTTTACGACATAAACATCATAAAACATTTTATGACATAAACATAAAATGTCATAAAACAATTCCTGCACTGATGTTTGATTGTGTTATACTGTTCAGCATGGGCTATTTTCAAGGCAGGTACATCTCTGAATAAATCCCAGCTTCTCCAGTGAAGGCAGTACATTAGATGCTCTGTCATTGCTGACCCAAAACTAGACCAATGGTGATCTAGTTTTACCTAGTTTTATCAGTGGCTCTATCATCAATTTGTTGCTTTTTTGTGATTTGCTTGTCTGTTTAATATAAAACTAGGATTTGGTAAGGAATGGTATTTACAAAGGCTTACACCCTTCTGTCTTTTTATTTGCATGTAGTTATAAAGTCCTTGTTGGAAAACCTTGAAAGAGAAATATTGCAGGCTGAGAAGTCTTTACTTCACGCAGCTGCTTCATTCCCAATGTATGGCCGAGTACACTGTATAACTGGGGCTTTGTGTCAATTAAAGTGAGTAATATTGAACATTGATGTGAATTGCAATGACTTTCATTGATTTCTTCATTGCTGTAGAGTAAGCTGAAGGAGTACTTGGTCTTGAAGCGGTGGGCTGGCAATTGTCCTTGAAAAAGTAGGGGGAACAAAAACATGATGCATGAAATTAAATTTTAATTAGAATGTAAGTCAGTTTCATTCAGTGTAATTATTTTCCACATGTTATGCATTTTGCCTTTCTGCCACAATAAGTAAAGTTTGTTGGTAAAATGTGTGGGTGGATCTAGAATTTGTAGGGCCTGCATAGCTTCTCAGTGAATCTTGTAATAGTTTTCTTGGGCAAACTAATAAAAATATATTCTTAATTTGGACTCAGGTATATTCTTGATTTGAGCTCAATTCCATTGAGTATATGATTTTCATGGCAGCACTGTGTAAATAGTTTGTATTGCCTTCTGGAATGCTTTCCAATTTTCCAGTTTGAGACTACAGCCTGGATTCCATGGTGGTCTTATATCAAAGGTATAAGCAGACTGAACTACATGGATCTTTTGAAGAATATTCTGTGTTGCTTCCGCAGTGAAAAACAGTTGCACCTAATCAGATTAATCCTGTCGTACAGCAGGATGTAACCACTAGTTTCAGTAGAACCAGAAGGAAATATAGATGAAGGATGGAAATGCTTTACTAGGAGAAGTTTAGATTGTACTTCAAACAAGACACCTTGAACAGATACTGAAAAGTATCCTTTTCAGCATATCACTCTGTGTTTTGGGATTCCAGTGATGCATTTATTTATATATCTTCTTTCATTGAGAGAAAATATGACATGTAACAAATTATAAGAATAATCTTGCATGCAGTAAAATAATTATGTAGTTTCAAGCTGTAATTTAGTGTGTGATAAGTTTATATTGAATAAGCATTAATTTATCATACTTTATTTACTTTTAATTAATTTTAGGATGACTCCATTCACAGGAAATTTCTTGATTTATTTCTTACAGTCATATGACGCTGACCAGTGAATGGAAAGAAGTAGTGAGAAAGCTTATTCTGATGTCCTATAAACTTTCTGCTGTAGTATCCCCAATAGTTCAGAGTTCATCCCCAGAAGGCCTTATTCCAATGGATACTGACTTGGGTAATGCAGGAATATTCCTAAAATTCCTGACTTTTTTGATGCACTAACATCAATAAATTTATGTATTTTGTTTATCAAACTAGATGTCTCTTTGCTGAAGCAAATGATTTCCTTTTATGAGCCCCCCCAAATTGTGCATTTCAGTATTCATCTCTCTATGTATGTTGGTTCTGGTCAATATTGTGCTGTATTTTCTGTGTCACTATAAAATTGAGATATGAGTGCTTATAATTTCTCAAGAAGCTGTTTATAAGTCAGAAATGTTTACTTGGTATTGTCAGTGCCTTGATTAAATTTAAGCACGGCCAGGATAGATAGTTGCTAAGCTCCCATGTGGTTGATATTCAGATTTCCAAGCATATACAGAAGAAGAGGAATGGAAACCAGGACTGGAAAATTGCTTACAGTCTTTTCTTAAGCATTCATTTATTTAATTATTTCTGCCCCTAACATAAACTGAGAGGCCATTCCTTCCTTAAAGCTGCCTTGGCTTTTCTTTGATATGAAGTTATCCGGGAGTCGTTAGCACCTCGTAGGATCCCTGCTCCGGAGCTTGTCAGGTGTGAGTCTCTGCTGGTAAAGTTGGACCTCAAGGGTCAAGTGGGACTGCTGTTAACGTACCTGCCTCCCAACAGTGTTGCAGCAGCCCTCCCCTCGCTCCTCGAGTCGGTAGCCGAGCTAGCAATTGAGTTCCCTAGACTTATGGTCTTG